TTGCACTAACTCTCCCTCTTAACTTAATACATAATTCAAAATGAAAGTGGGAAAAAGGTTCCTGTCTTGCTTGAAGCTGGTTTGTATTCCCACGTTTTAAAAAAAATCTACTAACAAAATAGAATCAACTGTCATCCTAGGTTCGACTGCTTTCTCCCAAATCAAAATCTGACCTTCCGTTTTTAAATGCGTTTCGAACTACTACTTTCACACAAAGTATGAGTGAAAAGAATGGCAGAGGAATTGCTGAGTTTGCTAGCGCCATCTGTGGTAGGTGGACTAGGTAGTAAATATACTAAACTAAACACACAGCTACAAAACTACTGTTAAATCCTGGATTTCTAAATTTTTTCTAAAGGTAAATCTCAATTTTTGAAGAGACACGAGAAACTGCTTTTCAAAAACTCAGATACTGGAAATGTCAGGTGAATCTCTCACAGACCTACCCTCTCTTTCGTTTAAGTTCCAATAGCGCATGCGCAGCAGAAGTTAGGTAGGGTGAAAGGTTGGCGGAAGTTACTTGACTTTCCTTTTCCGGCTGCGTTCCATCGGCGAATAGCTTCGGTAAGTTTAGCGGAGCTGTGGAAAAAATCCGTTGTAATCCTCTCAAACTGTTTGGAAAGTCAGGTTGGTGGGACAGTTAGAGAGTAGATATAATTTGTCTTTGATGGTCTGGGAGGTTTGGGAATAAGAAGATGCTGCAAGTAGCTCTGATAGTGGACTTCGTTTCTCTTGGTCGGGGCTCTGCCTGTACGAGAGAGGGAAATATTTAAGAGCTGATGTTCTTCTTCCTCATCTTTCATGCTAAAGTGGTCACCGTCTAGAATAAGAAGTAAATGTTGCAATGTCTGTTTTCAAGTAAAAATAAAGGAAAGATACTTCTGATGGACAGGCGTTGTCCTTTATTACTATTTCCTTGGTTCTCGTTGGTAAGATTACGAAGATTATGTTAGCCCTGTTGGTGACCAAAGTTCCCCCCAACCATCATTGGTCATTCCTCTCATTGCTAAGATAAAAAGATTGCTTTTAAATTCTGGGTTGTCCCATTCCCAGATGAAGCCATATTTATATATGAATGAAACATTGTATGTATCTGTGTATAGCCAGGTGTAAATTAGTTGATTACTTGATGGCAAGGAAACGCTTGATTTTTCAGATAATGATGTGATATGTGTGGGATTGCCTTTTAAGTTTTTCTTCTTCTTCTGGTCAGAGATGGGCAAGTTTATGAAACCTGGGAAGGTGGTTCTTGTTCTGGCTGGACGTTATTCTGGACGCAAAGCTGTTATTGTTAAGGTGAGAAAGCTGGATCTCCTCAACAAAGTATTTTAGTAAAGGCTTCATGAACTGAACTTTGGATGACTATATGGATATAACCATGCAGTCTTCTTGGCAGCAGTATGGATGTGGTTTGCCACTGCCTCTTTCCAGGATATTTTTTTTAATTCTCTAGTTTACTCTACAGCCTTGAGATTTCCTAGTGGTTTTCCATTCAAGTATTCATCATGTCTAACCCTGATTTGCTTTTTCCAAGATCAATTAAGTTGCCAGTTTACTTGTTAGAAGGACTTAGTCGTGGTCTAAAGTAGTGGAATACATTTGGTATTATTAGATTTTATTTATTTCAAGTACAAATTAGCCACCATTTCAGAGCCACTTTTACAAAATATAGTTGCAATCAAAGCCACTGTAGGACAGCAGACAGGTGCTATTATAAAACTACATAACCATACTAAAATATTACAGACTATTAAAGAGTTGTATCAGGAACAGAAACAACAAAGATGGAAATTCAAGGGCTTTGAATACCACAACGGAGAATTCTATTTTAAAGTGATCTTAGAAACTGATGAAGAGCCAGCAACTGTCAATCTTATATTGTGTCTAGTTGTGTATGACTTGATTGCACTAAACATTGCACTAAACATGATTTATTTAAATATTGCTTATTGAACAAGCTCCAGTTTTCTGGATTACACTACATATTAAGCCATAAACTGTAGCTTGCAGATTTCACTGACTGGGTTCCTTTGACACACTAAGTTAAAGCAACAAATAAACATTATGGGCCTATTGAAAATTGTTGAATTGATGTCTAATTGATTTCAAGGAATCTATATAATAAAGTGTAAAAAACTGGGTGCAAAGTTCATTTTTGCCACTTATGATTTTCTATTGAAAATTGCAGTGATATATTTGGGCACATTTTATGATAACATGTATTCTTAAATCCACTACTAAAAGTGAGCTTAGAATGTAAATTCTGAACTAAGAAAAGCAAGGACAGACTTGCACAGTAATTACACAATTATCAACTGAAAAAGTACAGAATGCCTTTTTTGAAGAATGACTGGGTAAATCTTAAATAGGAGATTTCCTGTTCAGGAAAACATTCTCACCCCCCCCACCCCCACCCCCAGGTAAAGCTGCAGTTGAATACCCATCAGTATCATTGTTTAAACGTTGTGATAGATGCTGCTTATGATGGATGGCTTAACTTGCGAATGGGTTTCTATTACAGAACATTGATGATGGCACTTCAGACCGCCCATACAGCCATGCTTTAGTAGCTGGTATTGATCGTTACCCACGCAAAGTAACTGCCAGTATGGGCAAGAAGAAGATTGCTAAAAGGTCCAAAATCAAGTCGTTTGTTAAAGTTTACAATTACAACCACTTGATGCCAACCAGGTGAGTTGGAAAGAAAAGAAAGTATGGAGAAATATTATGTGGGAGAAAAAGAAAGTATGGAGGACTATATTTGCTCTTTCAATCAAGAGCAATAGTTGTTTCAGACTCCTTTCTCCTGTGCTTTTGATCGCAGCTTTGGAAATCAAAGAAAAGCCAGGCAGGAGGACAAAAGTGCTTCTGGGTTTGTAACTTCACTGCCTCTTGTATTTTGCTCAGATACTCCGTTGATATTCCCCTGGACAAAACCATTGTCAACAAGGATGTATTTAGGGATCCTGCCCTGAAACGTAAAGCACGGCGAGAGGCCAAAGTGAAATTTGAAGAAAGGTAAATCTTGGAATATGTTATGTTTCCAATTGACTGCAAGCTGCAGACATTCATTCTTGATGCAGCAAAAATATATGTGGATGTGGATAGGTGGATGCAAAATAATTCCATCTAAACTATAACCGAGTTTACTTTTTTCTCTTTTGTCCCTCACCCCACCCTTTTATAACACATTGCTTGATGAAGAAACCTATAGGTTCCCAAGGCTTGGATAAAACTTTGAGTAGCCTAATAAAGGCAATGCTTTAAGAAGGAATTTAGACCTGTTCTGATGGTTGGCTTGGCTTATTTTACAACTTCTGTGATTCTGACAGTGTCGTTTGCTTTATCTCAATCTTTCATACTGGTTCCCTCTGAATGTGTTTGGGCTACAATTCCTAAAATTCTCAACCACCATACTTAATGTGATATTCATTCCCTAACTTGTTTTGTGCATGAAGTGATTCCTTTGGCTGATGCTCACCCATAGAGATTTGCAGAACCATTAACAAAATGTTTTCTTTCTTTCAGATACAAGACAGGCAAAAACAAGTGGTTTTTCCAGAAACTCAGATTCTGATTTGCTTTTAGCCGCACCAATAAATGTTTTTGAAAAGCCCATTTCTCCGTGTTTGTATTGCATATTTCCTCATGCATAGATTAGCTAGAAACAGTAATGCTACCAGAACTAGCCTGCAGAAATCCAGTTGACCGTAGAAGGCAGCAGAGTTTTCTTTAGTGCTTTACTGCCATCTGCTGGTTGTCTGGATTTTTATCCAGATCTGGGAGTATTAGACCAGTGACGTGAACCTTTTGGGCTCAGCGTGTCAAAAATCTGGAAAATGCCTAACTTGACTACTGGTGTGTCACACCGCCTCTCCCAAGCAAAAAAGAAACAATTCTTTACATATTCATTTATTTAAAAAAAAATACAGTCCAATCGTGTGGTGCTATGTATTATATAAAGAAACATCAAATAATTACAAAAATGAAATACAAGTAAAACAAATTAAATTTCTTTGATAACTCAAATGGAGAATAGTCAGGTATTGGTGAACACAGGTGTGTCACCCAAAATGTGGCGTGTCGCCTTTGACATGTCTGTCATAGGTTCACCATCACTGTATTAGACAGTAAGAATAGTGAAATAATTGTTGTGAAATACTTTGTCAAGTAAAACAGCAGAGGAATACATGAAAAATGTTTGTTTGTGTCATCTGTGGGGACCAATTTAAACCAAGATCTGTCTCCTAATTGTGATGAAGTGAAATCTGAAGACCTGCAAACTGATTGCCAGGTTCAGTAGATGAAAAATAAATTTCCAGAATAGAATTTCCATTATGTCCTAGATATGACAGGAAACAGGAATACAGTAATAGGAAATGATAATTGCATGGGATTATTACTACACTTAAAATCTGCTCTTCCTCTGGAGGTTTATCTCCTTGGCTTCCAGTATTATTCATTTTGCTTAGTACAAATATATTGTTGGGTGGAGTAAAAGATACTAAAAGGGAGCAAAAATAATTTATTTGAACAGTTTTTGAATAGCACCCTGAGTAAGGACTGAATGCCTTATTTTTGTGTAAAGGCTTAATGTAAGCAACCTGAAGATAACTGGAAGAGTGAATAGTGTCTGTTTCAAAGCCATATCTAATTTCATGTTAGGGGGGGGAACTTTGCCCTGTGCACGTGATTATTTATTTATTAAATTTGTATGCCGCCTATCTCCCCCAGCGGGTGACTGGGTGGCTACCAATGAAAGTAAAACCCACAGTTAAAAATAAACACCCCATTAATTAATTCAAATTAATTAAAAAGTCAAAACACAGGTAATAATGGTCTTGAGCTCCAATTCCTGTCACCCTGGAATTACAGTCAGTGGATAACTTGGGGATAAGCTACACGTTGCCCCTGCGTCTTAAGTACAGGGTAAGAAGAAAGGACTTTAGACAGAGCCAGCTAACCAATCAAATCGAGCTTCAGCATCCATTTCCTGAAACTTGTGATACGACTCGGATGTCGGGGGGAAAACGGAAGGCGCGCGCATGCAGAATGTCCGTTCAGCCCAAACTGGGTAGATTTTCGGCTCTACCGAAGCAGCATTTGACTTAGACCTTTCCGAGTGCAGCCTCGCGCGGCTGAGGAGCAGAGGCAGCTTTTGGCACGTTCCGATAAAACCCTCCGCCTTCTCTCCCGACCGGCGGGGCACCTTCCCTGGAGGGCGGGCCTGACGGGAGAGCCGCAGGGGCTGGAAATCGAAAGCGGAACCGAACTCCGGAAACGAAGCGACACCCCGAGTCGTGGAGGTAAGGGTTTGCTACGGGGGCCTCGTCTTCAGCGTCTCGAAGATCTACAAAAATCACTCTTCTTTTAATGGAGAAATGCGCCCCATGACCGTGGCAATATGGTGTGATAACGTGGGGCGCTCCTGTTCTTAGGTCAGAAGAGTTTGAGAAAAAAAGATGCCTCAAGCAGCTCCATGCTCACATGCCCCCAGCGCAGGCTCGATTCTGAGGTGATGGGCAGGATACCACGCTCTTGAGCCCCTGAAACTCTTCGGCCTTTCTTATTTCCAAATAAATAAATCCGAGTTGGTTCGCAGTTGGATTGGGACGTCCTCTCTTTCTTTCTGTCTCCCAAAGGAAGGATAAGGTGGGAGACTATTCCAGGGCAGAACGGGCGGAAGCCCAGAATTTGTTCCTGGGTCCTGAGCTTGCTACTCTGAACTTAAAAAAAAAAAAATGCCGATTTTTAGCTACCCGGCATGGCTGGGATTATTGGAGTTCCCAAAAGTTATGTTCCTGTAACACACGAATATGAAATACACTTGCTTGATTTTAGCTTAGCCTACTACACCCGGAGAACCCAGTCAGAGTTTTGTAATGCATGGCCATTGAGTTACTGGGATGTACAAGCCCAGTCAGCTGTGGTTTAGTCAACACTTTATTATTAAACTATAGTTAGCATGATGTCTGAACTCAGATGTACTGTAGTATGGGTAGCACCCATTGAAACTGAAGATGGGAAAAAGGAAGGAGGGATACTGATAACCAGGAAGACTTCCAGTGGTTAAAAAGTGGGGATTTTAGTTCATAAACACTATTCCTTATGGACACTTGAAGCAGATTAAATTGTGCAAAAGTTGTACCCAGCTGCAGAATGAGTTGGGATTTCCCCCCATGAAATGTACTGTAAATGCAAACCTTCCATTTTTTCTTCCAGGAGTGTCAGCACAATGGATTCAGAAGCGGTAAGCACTAGTAGGAAACTGACAGAAAAAGATTAACTCTGTTTATCAAAAGTAAAAGGAGAATGTAGAGGGCTCTAAAATGCCCTTCTGGAACATGGGTTCCTCCAGATGTTGTGGACTACAATTACCAGTCACCCTAGCTAGCGTAGCCAGTCAATGATAATGGGAATTGTAGATCAATTGTAGACAGTCTTCAATGGTAATTAGAAAATATTGTTATTCTGGCTATGGTCTGTTAAAGCTTATGTAGTGGTGCAGTCACATGGTCCCCCAGGACTTCAGTCCCTTTCTAAAATTCCTAGCATGGTACTTGTCTTTAGTTTTCACTGGGACTGCGATATTTTTTTCTGTGGGTATCACAAGCAGTTCAAACTCCTTTACTTTACATTAAGGAAGTGAAGATATTATCTGCCCCTTTCACCCAGTTTGGAGAAATTGTTGAGCTCTTCATAGTTGTCTTCAGTTTTTTTCTTGATATGGTGTCAACTGCAAATTTGGCCACTTCACAGCTCATATCTGGCATCAGATAATTTGTGAACAAATTAAATAGGACATCTTGGGAATGCACTAAGCAGAACAGCCTTACTTCACTTCATTGGGGAAAAGGCCATTTTACAGATGTATTACAAGTTTTTTCCTCTTGCCCTACAACTGCTAAATCTGTTCAGAAATCTTTGGTGAAGTACTTTTAGAAGAATGTAACAACCATATTTGTATCTCATGCTAAACTGTACTTTAGCGTAGTATGAATACATCAGAATAAGGGGCAGCCTCACATACCCTGATGTCTCTCCGTCTGCATCTCTGAGAGAATATCTCAGATGCTTCCATTTTATTTAATTGATGTTTGTCTTTTTTTTAAAAAAACCCATAAACTGGATTTGTTGAAATAAGCTAGGGTGAGCCTAAACTAGACTTCCCCTATTATTTTCACAAAAAGTTTCAGGAGTAAAAATATGTATGGTCAGTTCCTGCTTTTTCCGGAAGAGGGCAGACTTTCTTTGCCTTAAAATAGTGATCCACACATGGTGGTTTTAGCAGTAGTCTGTGGTACCAATGCCACATATATATATGGCGCATATATATAATAAAGTGAAAACCTTGGAAGATCTCATTCATGTTATGGACCCTGGCTTACATGGGAGTCTGCAAAAGATAGTAAATTATGATGTGTTGGGAACCACTGTCGTAAAAGCAATCATTGGTCATGCTGGAAGAAAACAATTCTTTGTTTGTTTGTTTCCTTTATGACCATCAGAGGTGGAATGGACTTCCTCTATAATTCATTCATAGAGAGACTGATTTATGGAATGTTTACACTTTATGTTATTATAAATGGATGTTTTCAAGGTATCAGTGATTGTGTTCCCCTCTGCCCCTTTACATTTTCTTAAGTTATGCTTCCCCATCAGGGGTAATGTTCCCTTCTCCTCAGCTCCCTTGCCCATTCCTTTGTGGTCACCTCCATACTTCCTTTGTGGGAGAAAGGCTATGAGCCTCCTTTTGTTCTGCAGGAGTCCTTCATCCATCTGCCCAGTGACAACTTTGCTGCAAGTGGACCTTCGAAGATGACAACGGACCAAATCTTGGGAGAGATTAAGAGGTGCCAGGTAGTCCGCTTAGAGAAGGGGGGGGTCTTTAGTAGTTCAAATGAGACATGCTGGTGTTTAGTCATTCCTTGGAAACCCTCTTCTCCACTCCTACTTATAAGCGACCAAGTTTGAGTGCTTGGTAACAATTGAGGTTCACTGGACATTCCCTGAGGCACTTTAATGTCCCATCATTGATTCCTGCTGTTCTTGATAGATTCTTTTTAGCTCTCTATTTAAATTAACTTTGTCACAGTTAAAGCTTGAGCAAAAATTTCTGATCCGCCTATGGTTGCCTGTTTATCTTCAGGATGCGTTGAAAGCTATTGAAGTAGATTGCTTATCCTTGGAGACAAGCAGAAAGGCAAGTGAGCAGGACTTGGCCAAACTCCAAGAAGAATATGAGCTTCTCAGTCAAAATCTCCTTAAAGCTGAAAATGAGGCCAAGACCCAGGAAGCTTCCTTGCAGGTCTGACAATTTTAAGTCCAGAATTACGTATAATCTTCCTGTAAGGATGTGTCAGGTTTACACCTTAGTAGTGTACAACTACTAAGCTAATATTTTGATTGCTGACGGTTCTGACAGGATGCCTTTAATGGAACAATACATTGACTACATTATCATGTTACTCCTGATTGCCTACAGAAATCTCCAGAAAGTGAAGATGAGGCCCAGGATATAGTCCTGGTGTGCCACATTTTAAAACTAGACTATGTGTATTCTTCTTTTAAAACAAGCATTTTTGGCAATGCTTAAAAAAAGTTGGATATTGTAATGTATATGCATTATGTTGTTTCAGTTAAGCCATGCATTTGTTGCTTATTCTGCATAATTTCTTTTGTTCTTGCAAGCGACTAGGTGAATAAGTTAGAGGTAGAGGTTTCTAAGGCCCTGATCTTCTCTTCTGTAGAAGTTTTCTTAAGCACTTTGGCCCAAGTTAGAATATTTCCCCAGTTATTGCCAATGCACATTGCAAGCTTTTGCTTGCAGCCACTTGGGCAAAATCCAGTAAGATGAACTGTCCATGCCATGCCAGTTCTGGCAGCTGGACACGCCACGTGGAATATATTAGATGCCATAATCTCTGGTGTAGAAATGAGACCCTGCAATTCTGTAGCAAGGAAGATGTGCCAGGACCACTCTTGGTAGTCTTCTGTTTAAGGGCAGAAAAGCTTGATCAACTTCATATTCCAAATAACTGACTCTGTCAGCATAATACATTTGCCTGTGTTTAATCCTAGCTTACTCAACCTAGTTTTTGGGATTCAAAGGACCCAATAAGCCTTAAACAAAGGACACAATTAAATTTACAAAACACACTTAGCTAAAATGTGGTTGGTTTAATTTGTAGTTCAGAGTATGAAGCAAGCACAGCCATGGTTTCCCATACCCTGTAATCTCCAGAATTTCAGCATCTCTTTCAGAATTCTTCCTGCCAGATTGCCTAGGCTCAGGCCTCTTGTCACAAGCTGAAACCCTGGGGAGGCCCAGCTCTGGTGCCCTATCTGTTCAGAAGTTGATAGCCTGTAGTTTGTTTTCCCAGAGATGGCTTCTGGGTCAGTAACACATCTTTGGACTGCCATCCAGTGGCAAAGTAGCCCCACTTTTTCCCCAATTGGTGACCTGCCTTCTTCTCCTGCAGACAATGATTCAGTTGAAAAAAGAGGATTCAGACGAGTTGCTGCAAGAAAAACAGGCACTGGAAAATGAATTGAAACATCTGGAGTGGCTCCATACAGCTCAGGAAGAATTTCTCAAGGTATTGGGACAAATGAATTTCCAGATTTTTTAAAATATGGCTTTGGAAAGCCATATTATTTTATTTAAACCCCCAGAGGCAAGCTTTGTCCCAGAGCTATACAAATTATTCAAAACCTCAGCCAGAATTCATCTTCAGATTTCTCTGTTTGGAGGAATTCTCCATGCTGCTTGTTTTTCTAAAGCAAGGGGCTTGAACATATCTGTCATTTTCTGCCCTATAAATATTTTCTGCCCTATAAACCAACCCAGGAGGTAAAAACATTGTACAGGTACTTTTGAGTCTTCCCATAATACTTCACATCTTGATTTTGAATATGAGAGGGCTGAGTTCCAATTAATGTGCTAAAGCTTGAGGAACAGTAAACCTGTTGCATAGGGGAGGGAGTCTCAAGATTCTCTGTTCAATGTATACAATTCTGCATTGCCCAGATGCCAGCTACTCTTCCTGACAGAGAAATGGTGTTTAAAGGTCATGTGGAAGAGGGAAAGATGGAGAACTTACCAGAGATGCTGACTGTCTTGCCCCAGATCCAATGCCCTGTACTTGGGGGATCGGCTCTCATCACTTTTGAGGATCCTGAAGGTAGGAACAACACTTCAGAATTGAAATTCTGGTTCTTTTTAGCATCCCCATCATGGCCATTAGTTGTGAAAGTAAAGAATAAGAACTTGTTTGGAGGGGAAAAAATCAAACTACTGTAAGGATAATGTGATTTAAATTGACTTCAAATCAGTTAAGATATTGGTTCGGTCTTACCTTGCCATGGGCTCTTTATTTAGCCTTAGGTTTCCTTCACTTAGTCCATGCCTTTAAAATTGAAGAAAGAATTAAGCAGAACAAATGGAAGAGAAGAGAAGAGAAGCATCATGTGGATTTTAATAGTGTCAGCTCTCTTAATCTGATCACTATCATTTCAAATCTACCTTGGTGACATTCCTCTATGCCAAAACAACAAAATAATAATTAAGAAAACCCTTCCTACTTATAGAAAGGAAGCGTTGTAGACTTTTATTCAAAAAACTTATTTTTTATTCAGAGGGAATGATCTTATCTAAAATACAGACACAATCTGCAGATTTCAGCAAGGACTAGGCCTGTGTGTGGATAGAGATTTCAGAGGGATATTTTGCATCAGGGCAGGAAGCCCTTTACAGATCCAGGTACCATCACTTGGTGTTGTATAGAGATCCAGGTGTTTTCCAAAGATGAAAAAAAGAACCCACAAAGGAAAATGCATTTAAAGGACACGTTCCAACTTTATGAGCCCTCCCTTTTGTACTTTCTGTACTACCATTTTGTACTTTTTTAGAAACTGAATTTTTTTTCAGTCCATCATGTATTGAATCCATTGATAAAGAATCCCAAATCCTGCGTATATCCATTCAAGCAATGAGATGGTCCAAAAATCCTGTCTTCTCAAAGAATGGGGAAACTAGTTAGGTGTTGTTGAACTGACCAAACAGCTGCAAGATGGAACAAACTGGTTTGGTTTGAATGTGCTCTTTCCTGGCTTCCCCCCATCAGTTGCCAGCAGGGTCATCAAAGTAGGACAGCATCGCATTCAGCTAGACGAGTGGAGCTATGTGCATGTGAAGGCTGAACCTGTGATGTTGATGCTGCCCTCATTCTTAGAGGTGAGTTCTACAGCCTTTGATTGTGGGCTTCCCATGGGGATCAATGGCAGCTTAGGCATCTTCGAAATAGTGGAGATGGCATCACAGCCAGATCAGTGGCTGGCAGAAAGTGCTGGCTGCCCAACTTGCTCAGGATTAAGGAGGAAGTGAGAAATCAACCCACTTGGTCTCCAGATGGCCATTCCTTGAAAGCTAATCACGGAAACGGAAGCTTCTGCGAACGGCTTTCAAGTCAAGTGGCCAGGAGGCGGGGGATCCATCTTCATTCATAGCTGTGGTGCAGCCTTTATATGGACACTAGAGCCACCCAAACCCATTTCTAAAGCTCTTTGGATTATAATTATTTTTCAACTTAAGAGAGATCTTCCTTTGCAACAGATAAGAAATTCTCTTCGGGTTTATCCTTATTTTGGGGACTATATTTTTAAAAGAAGAAATAGAGCTTTAATTTGAATCTGATTAATTTGCAAAAAGCTGGATGAAAATTGGAATTTAAAAGTTATTTACAATGAAAAGGGAAGATTTATTTGATAAAAGTATTCTTCTCCAAAACTCCATTTGCTGTAATGAGACTTGATTTTTTCCATGGGAGTTTTTTGCTTTGATGGACTACGCTTGTTAATTGGCTGGGTTTCTAAAACAGAAGAAGACTGTAACTTGATCCCCATGTTTCCTTTGACGTGTGCCTGCAATTCCATCTTGAAAAACACCAGAGGACGTGAACTGTCTGTTTACTTTCTCTTGTATTTACTATATCCAGTTACACATTTTACTTGTGTAAAGGGGGAAAAAAAATAAAAAGAATATGGCTATGAGGAAGACAGTGAGAGAAATGAAAGGAATAAGAAGAGGCTCTGTAGAGCAACCGTTAGAAGAAAAGATGGTCGCTTTAACTTTACTTAAACCAATGTTTGATGAATTAGAGCTAAATTTGTGATTAGAAAATACCCCAATTGGTTATTTTTTATTGTTTTAGTCCTTTAATAGATGGCTTGAAGAGGGAAGATTGGCAGGTACAGCTAATTGCATGGTGAGCTGTAGGAGTTTGGGGGGGAAAAAAGGCTACCAGGTCCAAATTACTTGGCACTTTAAAATAAGACAAAAACATTCCCCTTGCATTTTGGAATGCAAAGTTGCATACTTTCCCTTATCCCTTGCATAACTCATTTTGAATTTTAACTTTTGATAACATGTTTTCCATAAATTAGTTGTGGAGAAGGCCAAGGCATTGAGTGTTAAAGCATCATTCTGAAGAACAGAAAAGTTATCATCATGCTTCATGTTCTCCTCTACCCACTTACATTTTCACTTTTATTTTTGCTTTCTTAAGCTCCAAAAAATCCCTAATATTAATGCCAACACAATATAATAATAATGCTATACTATTGTATACAATTCTACCTTCTCAAGGCTTTTTTCCTTCTGGCCCTGGCAGATCTCCCTGAAACAGAGTCCCCGGCAAGTGATGTTATCTGGATTGCCTGCCCTGTCTCTGCCCAAGGATCAGCTCTATGACAAGCTAGCACTGTTCTTCAGCAAACGGAAGAACCAAGGGGGTGAGGTGGAACGTCTGGAACAGCTGAAGAACTCGGATAACATAGTGTTGACTTTTCTGGATGATGGAGGTAGGGGAAAATGTGAGAAAAGGCAGTGTGTGCCTCGTGTATTGGGGGGGAGTAGCATTCCTTCCACAAGTTTAGAGGCTCCTTGTTATATAGCCTTCTGGATTTACTAGTGGTTCCATATTATTCCTGCAGTACTTCTGTTGAACCACACAGGGGCAGGTTGAGAATTGTAAGAGTGGACATCCACTCTTGGTCTGAGCATGGAAGCTGCAATCTTTCTAGCTTCTGAATCTTGGGTCATCAATAGATTCCCTCTGCATATTTATCATAACCCTTTTTTAAACAACCACTGGTACTGTAGCCACTCCATTATCCTATAGTGTAACATTCACGCAGTTACCGCGGGCCTCTCACGAGTGAGGGGAAAGAAGACACCAA